CTCACACAAAAAAGTCAAACACAGCAGACATTTCAGAGCTCACTGTCTCATATTCCTGGAGAAGATAAAAGACCATTTTATTAAACCAATAATTACAGAGAACAGAGGTTTTCTTCTTTATCAAAACTAATTTTAAAAGCTTTAGGTATTTTGATAAAACATTAAAAATATACACTTTTATTTATATACTTGTTTTATATAAAGTATATAAGCTATAATGTTTTCTTGATGAATTACTATGTATTAGCACTAATTAATATACTAGGCTAAAATACAGTTTTGTTCTCAGTATCTGTTAAGGACCTATACATCAAATCCTCAAACCCACAAGACTGTGTATTAAGAGGAAATATGGTTCACTTTTGCCATTTCTATTCAACAGAGTACTGGAAGTCCTAGCTAGAGCAATTAGGCAAGAAAAATAAATAAAAGGCATCTGCATCTCTGTTTGCAGATGACATAATCTTATATGTAGAAAACTCTATAAGTTCTCCCCCAAGCTGTTAGAACTAATAAATGAATCCAGCAAAGCTACAGAACACAAAAATCAACACATAAAAATCAGTTGTATTTCTATACAGTAGCGATAAACAATCAAAAAAGGAAATTAAGAAAACAATTCCATTTATAATAACATCAAAAATAATAAAATACTTAGGAATAAACTCAACCAAGGAAGTGAAAGACATACACTGAAAACTACAAAATGTTTCTAGAAGAAATTAAAGAATATACAAATGAATGGAAAGATATCTTGTGTTCATAGATTGTAAGACTTAATATTGCTAAAATGTCAATCTCTAAAATATGCGACAACATAGATAGACATTATGCTTGGAAATAAGTCACAGAAAGACATACTGCCTGATTCCATTTATATGAGGTATCTAAAATAGTTAAACTCATGAATCAAAGAGTGGAATGGTGGTTGCCAGGGATTGGGGGAGAGGATAGTTAGGAGTTGCTTGCTATTCAATCAGTATAAAGTTTCAGCCAAGCAAGATGAATAAGTTCAAGAGATCTGCTATATAATGATGTACATATTATAGTCAACAATATGTTGTACACTTATAAATTTGTTAGGAGGGTAGATCTTGTTATATGTTGTTTCCACAAATAATAATGAAAAAAAAAGTCAATGCTACCCAAAGTAATCTATGGATTTTATGCAATTCCTTGCAAAATCCTGATGACATTTTTTTTTTTTTTCAGAAATAGAAAAATCCAATCCTAAAATTTAAATGGAATCTCAAGGAATCCTGAATAGCTACAACAATCTTGAAAAACGAAGCTGGAAGACTCACGTTTTCCTATTTCTAATTTTACCAAAAAGTTACTGTAATCAAAAGAATGTGGTACTGGCATAAAGACAGATATATAGGCCAATGGAATACAATAGAGAGCCCAGAAATAAACCCTGGCATATCTGGTCCAATGATTTTCAACAAGTATGCCAAGTTTATTTAATGGGAAAGGACAGTCTTTTCAACAAATAGTGTTGGGAAAACTGGTATCCACATGCAAAAGAAGGAAACTGGGCCTTTATCTTACACTACATATACACACTAACTCAAAATGGATCAAGGACCTAACCATAAGAGACAAAACTATTAAAAAAAAAAAAAAAACTTAGAAGAAAACATAGGGGGAAAGCTTCATGACACCAAATTTGGTGATGATTTCTTGTATATAACACCAAAAGCACAGGTAACAAAAGAAAAAATAGGTAAATTTGACTTCATCAAAATTTAAAACTTTTGTGCATCAAAGAACTATCAAAAGAAAAGGCAACCCACTAAACGGGAGAACGTATTTGCAAATCACATATCCGAAAAGATACTTCTATCCAGAATACATAAAGAACTATTACAACTTAAGAATAGAAAGACATATAATCTAATTTAAAATGGCCAAAAAATTTCAATAGATTTTTCTCCAAAGAAGACATAAAAATGGCTAATAAGCACATGAAAAGATGTTCAACATCACTAGTCATTAGAGAAATGCATGTCAAAATCATAATGAGATACCACTTCATAGTCATTAGGATTACTATTATTAAAGAAAAAAGAACATAAGTGTTGGCAAAGACACGGACAAATTGGAGACCTTTACATTGCTGTGGGAATGTAAAATGGTATAGCCACTATACAAATTAGTATGGCAGTTTCTCAAAAAAGTAAATATAGAATTACCATATAATCCAGCAATTCTATTTCTAGGTATATACCCAAAAGAATGGAAAGCGGGGACTCAAAAAGATATTTGCACAGCCATGTTCATAGCGGCATTACCCACAATAGCTAAAAGGTAGAAGCAACCCGAGTGTCCATGGATGGATAAATGGATAAACAGAATGTGGTATATACATACAATGATTATTCAGCCTTTAAAAAGGAATGAAATTTGGATATAAGTTTCAACATGGAACCTTGTTGACATTATGTTAAAGTAAAAAAGCCAGTCACAAAAAGATAAATAATGTATGATTCGACTTATATGAAGTACCTAGAGTAGTCAAATTCATGGATAAAGAAAGTAGAATGGTCGTTGCCAGGGGCTTGGGGGAAGAGGGAATGAGGCATTATTGTTTAATGGGTAGAGTTTCAGTTTCAGACGATGAAAATGTTCTGGATATGGATGGTGGTGATAGTTGGACAACAATGTGAATGTACTTAATGCCACTGAACTATGAGAATGGTTAAAATGGTAAACTTTGTTATGTATATTTTACCACACACACAACAGTAAATGTGCTAAACAAAAGGTTCTGCTATAAGTTATACTTTTTCTTTAGAATCCACCTTTCACCCCACTCTCACCTATGGCTGTCTCTTTCAGAGCAATGTTGATATCTGGCCACTCAAAATAATATGCTCACTTTGCATAATGAACTCATTTGACAGGAACTGCAATATCATATGCCAATGTCTGTGTGGGTGTTTTCTGGGTAATCTCAATACAGACCAAACTATCTCTACAGAGCCTGCCCTTACCCTAACATGCAGTAAGCCATCTCAATCAAGTGACTTTTGACAGGGTGCTTAGTCACTGTGTATGAGTAACAGAAGAAAAGGGTGAGTTATTGTACTAAATTTGTAGAGAGAAAATAAGAATGCATAGGCCTACTCATAAACAAGGGTTGCTAGATTTAGCAAATAAAAATACAGAACACCCAGTTGTTTATCTGAAATTCAAGTTTAACTTGGCATCCTGTATTTTATCTGGCAATGCTCTGAAGTATTGGAAGTTGAAGAGAAAATAAATAAAATAGTCCAGAGAATTATTTTGGGGATACTGAGGTCTTAACAGGGAGCACAGACAGGAAAAAGTAGAAAAGCTCATTAGAAATATTGATTACCCCCTGGCCAGTGTGGCTCAGTTGACTGGGCATTGTCCCTGCACCAAAAGGTTGCTGGTTTGATTCCCAGTCAGGGCACATGCCTGGGTTATGGGCTGGATCCCGGACAGAGAGCATGCAGGAGGCAGCTGATTGATATCTCAGTCTCACATTGATGTTTCTCTTTCTCTCCCTCTCCCTTCCTCTCTCTCTAAAAATTAATAAAAGAATCTTTAAAAAATGTATTGGTTACAAAAAAAAGTATTGGTTTCCAGATCCCATGCTCATGGTTAATCCAGCTCAGGAGTCCCTCCCTGCTTTAGTTCTATGATCCAAGACTTACTTATAAAGAGGTCAGAAGGTGACAGAAAGAGAAAGTGAAGAGGGATAAATCAAAGTTACAAATGGTTGGGAACATATCCAGACTCCTGTTAGGTAGGCCTGGCCTTAAAAATGGACCTTAAACACAACATAAAAATCAGAGGAAATCAGATTTTAACTCTGTCTCAAAGCAGAACAGAAACAATGGTATCAAGTGCCCTGTGGCCACACAGCAGGAGGGGCACAGGTAACAGAATAGCAGGGATAGGTGGTGGGATCTCTCTTCCATACCACTGCCTCTTAAGAACTCCAATCACCACTTTTACTTACTAATACTCTGAGCCCTAGTTATAATAATGCCACTACTAGTCAGTCAACTACTTCTCAGCTTATAAATTCCTACAACGTTCCAGCTATTGTTTCATCACTCAGCAATATTATCTACTTCCCCCACAGAGCCTGAGCCCAGACTGAGGTCTGAACCCTGTCTTACCTTCATGAAATTGAATCTGTTTAGGTCACCCTCCTACGAATCAATAAAAACAGGTTCCAGGCTCTCTGGGAATTCCATCTTTAAAAGGTCCATGTTCTTGTTTATTACTGACACTGTTCATGTGGTGGTAATCCCTGTCTGATTCTGGTCTACTGAAATATAAATGGCCCATATGGCCTGATGACACTACAGTAGTATTTAGGGATCTTTGATCTCTCTCACACTAGGCCTCCCTGGGATGTCTATCCCTCCAGACTCTGAGATGGGGGTGGGGGTGGGGTGCCATGTGGGTACCCAGGAGCTAAAGGGTAAAATAACTGAGGTTCTTCATTCCTCCAACCTGTCCTGAGGCAGTGGCTGACCAGCTACACTGAGTCAGCTTTAAAAGCTGTGGCTAGCCTTCAGAATTCTTCCTCAGAGGGAGCAGTTAGTCTGTTGAGCAAGAGGAGCGGTTCACCTGGGCAAAGCTCTCAAGATTATCTGGGCAGCCTCTAAGACACTAACCAGTCAAGATTTCTGCAGCACCAGCCCTGATTTTTTTTTTGTAAACAGAGCATAAGTGGAAAACAGCTGATACATAGAAGCTTGTATGTAAATAAATTAGATGCATGAGTAGAAAGACTGAATATATTCAGTTTTATGCTCCCAGTATGAGCACTACAAGTAACGCCCCCCCCCCCCAAATGCTCTTCCTTTTTTACCCTTTCATGTACCTTAGTCACACCTTTCCCACTAAAGCAATCTGTCTCACAGCCTCTGCATAGGGCCCGTCCGTCCGTCCGTCCGTCCGTCCGTCCGTCCATCCATCCATCCATCCATCCAATATTTACTGAGTGCCACCGCGTGTCAGCCACTGTCCTGGGTTCTGGGGATACGAATGAATAGTGTATGGTCCTTGTCTCCAGGGCAGTCCCCCGGGGTCCACAGGGCCAGCTTGGAGGTCTCAAGCAGGCCGGGGGGCAACAGAATCATGGTGCCCTTTGCAGCAGACAAGTGCAGCTGGCAAACTGCCAGACCAAAGGTTTTCCGCAAGGCAAAACTGGATGCACAAGGGAGATCCCATCCCGGCTCCGGCAGATACCAACTTGGAACCAGGGACCAGGGCTGGGGAGGGCGCTGGCTGTGGGGGAGGTCCCCGCCGCAGCCGCGGGGCTGGATGCTGGGCCTCCGCACTCCTCCAGGGCCATCACAAGAGATGTGGGTACAGCGAAGACTACTGGGCGCAAGTCGGCTGAGCGGGTGCCTCCCAAGGGACAGTTTGAGGAGACGGTTGGGCTGGATCTGGGGTGACGCCCAAAGCGATAGGTAGTCCTGGGTGTCTGCAAGTTCAGTGGATGGTAGAGTTGAAGGGTCAGGAAGAGGACTGAGGATGAGCTGGGTCCAGAGGGTCAGAGTGGAACTGGACGAGGGGGCTGAGGAAACCAGGGGAAAGAACTGAGGGGAAGGGCGGGGTGCTGAGGGCTGGGTAAATGGGCAGACAGAGGGCCTTCTCCTAAGGCATCATTAGGAACGTGAGGGCAAAGGGTCTCCCGGACCCCGCTGGGCCGCGAAGAGGCGTCCCTACCTAGTCTCTCGCCTCAGCGTGGTCGGTTCTACAGCGGCGGCGGCGGTGGCGGCGGCGGCGGCGCCTCGAACCCTCCAGGGATTGCGTTGCAGCGGGGACAGGACGGCGCCCCCCTCCTCTCCAGGCGGGTTGGTAACGCCCGGTCCCCCCTGCAGCTGCGAGGCGATGGTCCAATCTGGATTGCCCTCTAGCCGCCCCTCAGGACGGCGCGTTGGTTCGGTCCACTGGACTCCGGGTGCTCGACCCCTTCTCGGGCTCCCGCAGCGAAGGGCGCAGCGAGTCACGCGCAGTGCTTTCCCGCGAGGGGCGCGGCGGGGCTGCGGCTGTGGCCCCGCCTTCTGCGGCCCGCGCCCCGCCCCTTCGGGGTGGTGTCTGCCGCAGCGCGGCCCCAGTGCGCTGCAACCTAGAACCCAGGCGCACAGGCCTACTGGTTTAGAAGGTAGGTGCATTTGCTCAGCCACCTCCGCCTGAGCGGCGAGGATCAATCCTGACACCCAAGTAGAACCTCTTGGGAAAAATAGAAGAACAACAAAACTAAGGCCTAATCTCAGCTGACACCGATTAAATCAGAATCACTGGGGTGGTAACCAGGCTTTGATATTTTTTAAAGCACCCCATGCATAGCCATGGTTAAGAAGCCCTGCTAAAATCTGGAACTGACAAAGATTCTCTCCTTTGACCAAAACTTGAGTCAGGCTCTTCTGAGTCCTCTGCTGGATTTAGGCTCGACCTTGCGCTTCTCTCTCTGGCCTTGTAGAATTCAATTTGAGCAAGAATGCTGATAAGTCAGTTTAGTGCAAATTCCCCATCCTTGGTATTTGACCACCCTGGATATCTTATCATCCTGGGCTGGTGTCGGTAAGAATTTTGTTGAGTCAGTCTAGCAAGAATCTCCATTACCCCTGATGTTTCCTCTTAGTAATTGCTATGGTCTGGATGCTATGGTTCACATCTATGCTATAGACCAAGTGCTGTGGTCCAAAATTCATATGTTGAAATCCTAACACTTAAAGGTGATAGTATTAGTAGGTGAGGGACTTTGGGAAGTGATGAGGTTATGAGGGTGGAGCCTGAATGAATAAGATTAGTGCTCATGAAGACCTTACAGAGCTCCCTAGTCCAATCCTACAAAGAAGAGTCTGCAACAAAAACCCTACTTGGTACCAATTTGGGGCTGCTAGATTCCAGAACAGACCTTCTGTTGCTTATAAGCTACCCAGTCTAAGACTGTAATTTCCCATGCACTGACTCCTACCCTTCCTTGTTCCTTGGCTATAAATCCTCACTTGTCCTTATTGGGTTCTGAATTGAGTTCAGTCTCTCCCCAACTGCAAGACTTCATTGCAGGGGTCCCTAAACTTACCATGATTGTCCCCCTTAAATAAAGTCTGCCTTACCATTTTTAACAAGTATCACGAATAATTTTTTCTTTAAAAATTTTTTTTTCCTTTATTGATTTTAGAGAGAGAGGAAAGGAGAGTGAAAGGGCGATAGAAACATTAATGAGAGAGAACATCGATTGGCTGCCTCCTGCATGCCCCCCACTGGGGATTTGACCTACATCTGGGCATGTGCCCTGAAGGGGAATCGAACAGGCGACTTCTTGGTGCATGGGTCGATGCTCAACTATTGAGCCACACCAGCCGGGCATGAATAATTTTTTCTTTAACAGAACTCATGTGCTTCCAGCTCCTTATGGTAGACAGGGTGTGTGTGAGACATTGAGGATCCTATTGTCTCCTTCTTATAGCCAAAGTGGGGATGGGGCAGGTGGTCATTCAAAAAATAGTTATTAGCCCTGGCCGGTTTGGCTCAGCGGTTAGAGCGTCAGCCTGCGGTCCTGAGAGACCCGGGTTCGGTTTCCGCTAAGGGCGCGTACCTCGGTTGCAGTTTGTCCCCGGCCCTGGTCGGTTGTGCGGGTGGCAGCCACTCGATGTGTCCCTTTCACGTCGATGTTTCTCTCTCTCTCTCTGTTCCTCTCTCTCCCTCCCACTCTACCTGAACAAAAAATGGAAAAATGTCCTCGGGTGAGGATTAAAAAAAAAACAAAAAAAAACAAAAAAAAACAAAAAATAGTTATTAGAAGCCTGCTGGGTTCCATGCTCCATCAAAGAGTTAGAGGCTGAGATTTGTGCTCTAGGCACACATAGGTTTGTTGGGTCACAGTCAAGGAAGCAGATAAATGTCACTTTGTGTAATGCATCTCCAGGCCTCACAGAAGTGGTATGACCCGAGTTTTGAAGAATGAGTGGGAGTTAAAGGGTGTGGGGGAAATTATCATGTGCAAAGAACAGAGGGGCAAAATATATGATGGAGGTGTGGGGTGCAATAGAGAGAGCATAGCAGAAATGGTCAGGGGTGTGATGATAAAGAGCCTCCTGTGATATACTAAGGAGTTGGGACTTACCTGGAAGCAATGGAGAGACACTGAAGGGCTTTATGCAGAGGCAAAAATGGCCAATCAAATACAAATTTTAGAAATAAAATTCTGAGGGTGGAGAAGGCTTGGGTTATCAGCAGAGGGACCAATGAAAAGCCACATGTTGCCCTGGCCGGTTTGGTTCAGCGGTTAGAGCGTCGGCCCGCGGTCCTGAGAGACCCAGGTTCGGTTCCCGCTAAGGGCATGTACCTCCGTTGCAGTTTGTACCTCCGTTGCAGTTTGTCCCCGGCCCTGGTTGGTTGTGCGGGTGGCAGCCACTTGATGTGTTCCTTTCACATCGATGTTTCTCTCTCTCTCTCTGTTCCTCTCTCTCCCTCCCACTCTACCTGAACAAAAAAATGGAGAAATGTCCTCGGGTGAGGATAAAAAAAAAAAAGAAAAGCCACATGTTGCCCTGGCTGGTTTGGCTCAGTGGTTGGAGTGTTGGCCCTCAGACCAAAGAGTCGCAGTTTTAATTCCTGTCAAGGGCATGTACCTTGGTTGTGGTTTATCCCCAGCCCTGGTCATGGCAGGGTTGTGCAGGAGGCAACCAGTTGATGTGTTCTCTCACATCGATGTTTCTCTCTTTCTCCCTTTTTCTCCCTCCCTCCCACTCTATATGAAGATAAATGGAAGAATATCCTTGGGTGAGGATTAAAAAAAAAAAAAAGTCACATGTTTGTATAGTTAAATGGTTCACGGTGGGGACTTATCCCAATGTAGGCCAGTTAGAATCCCTTTCCTGAGAATTTGGAATCGGGGGAGAGAGAACTATATGCTTACTCCTGGATAGATTTATATGGAAATTTGAAAACTGTGTGTGACTATCATTTACTTGCCAAAGGGGCTGAGTAGCAAAGAAAACCAATTTGCTGAGAAGAATCAATCTGTTGCATAGAGAGGAGCCCAGTCTAAACACACAGAGAGGAGCCCAGTCAAGACACAAAAAGACAAGTCACCAGGTTCTTGGGGCCTTCCAGCAGCTGGTTCCACTTCTTACAGAGGCCCAGCTTGATTCCTGCCCTGGGTTGATAACACATCCTTCTATCCATTCAGACAGTCATTCAGCAAGAGTGGTTACTTCCTGTTATTTGTGTCAAGAGATGATTTCTAAAAAGGTAAAATTATGAGTCTTATACAAATATAAACACATATTAAATTCACTAATTAATGAAGGAACCAGTAAGATTCTATCTAAAACCAGTTCAAATGAGCATTTGACTCCTAGAAATGTTTATTCTCTACCAGATAAAATTAATTTGCATCACTGGGAACAGGAGTCATTTGCATTGTTATGGGCAGAAACATTTTGCATTATAACCAATATTGAAACAGATTTGCACTTTGGAAATCTCACTCTAGTTGGAGTGTAAATATTGAATTAGAGGAAGGTCAAAAGACCAGTTAGGAGACTCTGTAGTAATTATTATGAGAAGTGAGAGGGTCTGAATTAGGGCAGTCACTGAAGGGTTAGATAAGAGGAGATTGATTCAAGAGATTTAGGGTATAGAATCTATGTGACTTTAATTAAATGTATCACTGGGGGCAGGATTAGGGGGCAGAGTCTAGGATCACTCTCAGGATCCTCCAAATGCTGAATCTTCTCCAAAACTCTGCATGTATCTTAGAAGTGAAAGGCAAGGCTAGAGAGGGCCCAATAATAAAATGTCCAAATTTTAACCAGATCCAGAAGACACAGGAAGCCCTTAAAGGATGCAAAGCTGGGGCTTGACACAATCAAGTTTGTCTTTCAGACAGATTATTCTAGTGATGCTTTGGATAGAAAAAAGCCAGGGAGATAAGTTGGGAGATTTTGTGCAGTAATCCAGGTGAGAGGTAATCAAAGTCTGAACAAGGGCAATGGTAGTAATAATGGAGGGGACTGAAAAAAAGACAGAATAAAGATGTAGAATTTACATTACTTGATGAGTCATTAGACATAAGACTATAGGATGAGTCCCATTATTCTGCCTAGTGTAACTGGAATGATGATGGTGGAATCTTGGGATCAAATTTGGGGAGGAAATGATCATTACAGGTTGGTGGGTTGAGTAGGGGTTTCCCAAGATTCAAGTAAGGGTTTCAGAGTCAGTTTGAAAAATGGATCTGGATTTCAAAAGAGAGATCTTGGATAGAGAGAGAACGGAAATTAACATGAAGTCAGGATAAATGTACAGAGAAGAATGAGTGGAGAACCTAGTACTGAGCTTAAGGTGTGCTGAGGATAGAGCTATATGGTTAAATGGTGTGGTCATATTGAGGTTAAGATAGAATTTAGCAGCAGGGGACAGAAAAGTGGCATGGGTTTAAAAAAGGAGAAAAAAGGGGCATAAGGGAAATTCTGGTTTAATTTGAAGGGAGAGAGTGGTTCAGTGATATTTCTTGGACTATATTATTGTCCCTGGAGCCCAAACAGACGATACAAATCTCTCTACTCCAAAATAAGCAATTTATTACTCCATCAACTTTTTACATACAATTTCCCAAGTACATACAATTTCTTCTCAAAATAATTTATGGAATGAAAACAAATGTTCACCAATTATGGCTATGTCCCTTTAAGAAACAATTTAATCCCCTGCAGTCTCCCCCTCCTAGTTCTGAGACTCAAAAAGGTACCAGTTTTTGGGGCCAAAGGGGTTAAAGAGAGGGAAAGAAAGCAAAATTTTGAGCTGTCTTTAAGGCAAAAACCACCTCCATTTTGGGGGGGCCCAGATACTCTCCTTTAGCTTCTTATGATTACCTTTTCACAGATGTCTCCTCCTTTTGCTACCAAGGCCAGCAAAAGACTTATCCCGAATCCCTCAGATACACCTGAGAAGAGTGACTGAATGGGACTGTCTGTGTGGGGCTCTAGCAAGGTTAATAGTTGCCCTGGGTATGGAAAACAGGGTCCAGAGTAAAGTTCTTAGGTTCTATTTTATTTCCCTTTCTCCACACTGCCCCTCTTCACCCACTACACTTCCACATTTGCTTGTCTGGACTAAAACTTAGAAGGGTTGGTAGAAGGGAAGTCTAAAGCCACTTTTTCTTGAAATGCTGCAACTCTGACAGATGTCTAGGAGCTCTTTCTTTACCTTTCCTTGCCTTATCTGGGCACAGCCTTCTAGGGAATGAATAGGCCGAGCCCCTGGAGTGAGAGTAGAAGAGCAGGTTTATGCTGCTTTCCCAGAGACCCGAAGCCCTTCTTACTACATTAGGTGAAAACAAGGGAGGAAGAGCAATGACTCACTCTTTTGGGGTTTCCCTAAAGACCTCTACTTTTTATGACAGCTGTTTATCCTGGGCCACTTGGACTTCATAAACTTGCCAGAAGTGATGAGGGGCCCAAAGCCCTGTTTGTGGGAGAAGGCATAGGCAGAACGTCGAGGACCTGCACTTTTCAGTTTTCTCTGGATTGGGAGTGGCAGTGGATGTTTCATGCCGTGAATTGTGTCAATAACCTATAGCCAGAGCAGGGAGGACAGGGTTTTTATCCACAAAGGCAAAGGCAAAGAGGGTCATGAATTAAATTATATCTTGGTTGATTCCCTGTTGCACTCACCTTATCTACACTGATGGGCCATAATAATGGTTTGAGAAACTGGTACCCAATGGCAGGCAACATACAGAGGACCACGCTGAGGACAACACTGAGCCACAGTTGTGGCACGCTCAAAGTGTTCCTTGCCACACCTGTAAACAATGAGCCAGGAGGGGAAAGACAACCTGAGCCTGGAGGAAGGGGGCTGTCAGCCAGAACTCAGATATCTCTGTAGTCCAAAGAAGGAAGTTACTGATTTGGACACCGTTTAGTCTCCTGAGAAATAGATAAATGCAAAAGAACTGCAGTGAAGTCCTTTGTACAGCCAGTCACTATGAATTCACATGCCTTTGTCTCCCTCTAAAGGCCAGGCAGGGCAGGAGAGGTTTGGGGGTGTTGGGGGGAGGGTGTTATAGGCATTGTAGAGCATTGAGCTGGACACAAAAATGGGATAGAGGACTTTGGAGGGGAAAAATGAATGGCTTGATGAGAGGTGGGAGCCAGCTACATCTACATATCTGCCCTGTCTGTATTTTGTCCTCATCAGAGTGGAGATGAGAGACAGGGAAATTAATATGTGAGACAATAAGGCAATATATGCCACGGCGGAAGGAATATTGGACTGAGAACCAGGGGACTTAGATTTCAGTCATTTAAATTTTAAAAGCCTTCAGTCCCTAAAATGGTGCTAATAATTCTTAGCCTGACTACCTCAGAGGATGCTTGTAAAGATCAAATTAGGTAAGAAATTGGAAAATATCTTAAAACTCTATAAGGTAAAATAGTTCCCCTAGCTAGATTTGAGTTCTTTAGGGCAAAAACCATGTCTTATTCCTATCTATAGCCACAGAGCCTAGCACATAGTAATAGCTTCTCAGTAAACATTTATTAAGCATATATACTTAGTTCATACTCGCCACCCCGACCTCCCACCCCCTTGCCACACACTGGACAGAGCCTTACCCAGGAATCGGAAGATATTGGGGAACAATAGGCACAAGCCATCACTGTACAGGAAGAATAAGATGCAGAAGTAGAAACCCAGGCTACCCCAGGTGAAGAGATGGTTTATCGTTGTCCAGTAGGTTGTCTCCAGGGCAATCTGAAAAATACCCTCTTATGTGAAATATTCAATAACCTATCAGCCACCTCCCTTCCCCAATTCTGTAACAGAGGATTCTCCCTTCCCACCTTCCCTCCTTTCTTTCAGACAGTCTCCCCACCCAATCCCCTTACCCCCACCACTATTGTCCACACCTGCATTGTGACCACCCAAAGCAAGGAGGTCTGCACTATCAGGGAGAAGGACTGGTAGTCAGAGATTTCCTTCCCGTCACTGCTCACTGAGTTGAAAATGGTCCCCATGGGAACAAAGAACAGCACGAAGGAACTGTAGATCCCATGCACTAAACACTTCACAAATTCCTTCTTGTTGAAATAGAGGTTGTGCTGGCCTGGCTCATACAGCTCCGGGAAGCGTAGGCTCCATGCTTCATTCACATCCTGGAAACACCAGAAGGTAAGGAGGAAGGCTCAGGAAGGTCCCATCTCCATCAGAGTAGAGGCTTCTCCCCATACTGAGTCTGCTGCCATGCTGCCTAGGAGCCTCCTCATGGGTTACTTGAGAAGTGGAACCAGAGAGCAGATGAGTGACCACAGATACTTCTTGAAGTCTACTCTCTAGGCAAGGATCTAGGTATTGGAAGAAAGCTAGTAAAAGGTCAAGATGGTGGGAAGGACCTAGAGGCGATGAGGATTGCAGACTTTAAGAAAGGAGGCAATTAGGATTGAGGTAGCTGAAAGGGAGGAACTGGATCTTGAGGTGGGGGAGGCAGTGGGGATGAGACCCCAGTTTTAAGCATTCCAGTGAAAGGAGAGGGGAAAGCCAAAGGGGACGAGTGAGTCACTTGGAGGGATCCATGTTCTATAGTATCCATGTTCCTCCCATTCCCATAGCTACTGGTTAACTCAGGTAAGAGGATTCTCTATGTGGATAACAAAGTTTAGGGCTCGTTTTGAGAGGTTGTGGATCCCTAGAATTAGACCACTGAAGCTGGCTAGGACTGTTGAGTGCCACAACTCATTCCTCTCGCTGCTCTGAGGCTAGCAGCTACTTCATGAAGAATTTTCCTTCCTACCCTGCTGGAGATCAGGAACTGTGATCTCACGATGTCCTCCTTCAGCTACTTTATTCCTCTTTGGAGACTCCTTTTCTAGTCAATGTGTGCCTAGGACTGGAAGTTGGGATAGAAGAGAAGAGGTAGGACACCAGGACCCCCAATGCCCAGGAAATTTCTGACAGAGACAGATGGCTCCCTTATGTTGACTCCCTATAATTCAAAGCTATAATATCCATAGTCCCATGCTTGGCCTTCAAGAACCCTCACCTAGGCCTCCCTGCATTGGCTTATCTCCTTATCTCTGTATGGGTCTCTCCTAGTCCTGCTTTACCTAGTCCTTTCCCAATGACTCTCTTTCCTTTCACTACTTTTGTACACACTTAATTTACTGTACAGTACAATGCCTATGTTTCTCTCTACAAACATAAAATGGAGGCAAGAAAACTTAGATTTCTAAAATTAATGATTATTCTATGTGGAAGAGGGTTCTTTACTTTATCCTATGATATCTCTCAAGGTGATGAGCACTTTTCTTTGCTCTAGAAATTACTCCATTTACTCTTGCCTTTGTAGAGCCCAGCTCTTTCTGTCCTCCTCATTCTTGGGAATACTCCTCAAGGGCCCAGGGACTTAAGCCCAGACTAAGGCTTGCTGCTAGTCTTACCTGGTCAAATAGACTCAAGCCCAGGATGGGGAGGCAGGTGTAGATCAGGTTGTAGAAAGTGATAAACCAGGTATCATAAACTGTCTGGAAGAACACCAAGGAGATTTCTTAGATTCTGCTCTTCTCCAAAGTCCCAGCTCTACCTCCCAGGTCCAAGGGAGCCCCCTTTCCCCCCCCCCCCCCCCCCAGTGACTATACTAACTTAGAGTAGGATTTGAATTTTGGAAATCTTACTGAGAAGGCTGACTCCAGTCTCTATTTGGTCTTACTCTATTTAGAACTCTGGCTACCAGGCTGAGGTAAGGCTATACCAAGCTTGTTTGTGGTCAACCTTACAAGGTTGATTTGGACCAACCCTACCATGACCTGCACTGCCCCTCCCTGCACAGAAAGACCCAGAGTGGGTGCTAGGGAATGCTAGCTATACCCCTGCAATCCTAGGCATGTAAGCCTCTGGGATTTTTCTTTATCTGCTTTATGGCATTCAGTAGCTTCTGTAATACTGGACACTTCCTAACATTGGCAAGCAGAATAGACCTAATGACCCTTCCCTATCTAGGTGTTCCCTCCTGGGGCCTACAAAGGCTCTTTTCCTTGTAGCCACAAGAGGTCAGTAGCAACACATACATACACACACCCCCCTACACCTCCCAAATGAGACCTGCTTTGTTAGACACTGGGTGTACAAGTCTATGGCTGTCTGCTGACTGGCCCTTTTCTCCTAGAGCCTAAGGCAACAGAGGTAGTAGGGATCTCCCAAAAGAATTGTTCCTGAGGTTGTTTCTCTTGGGAATCTTTGAAAGACTTGTGAAAAACTTCTCATAGGAAAAGAGACTCCTTATGGAACATAAAAATCTAGGTGTCACCTCTCCCCACTACTGTGGGGGAGATTTCATATTCAAAGGTGGAATTAATTCATCAGAGCAGACCTAGATGCATAAGAACAATGGGCAGGGCTTACTTAAAAACCTTTCATGAAAGAAGTTATAAGTCTGGGGTGTGACCCCCCACCATGACCTGCCCAGTTAGAAATTTATGTTATTATAGCACCCCTTTTTCATCCGCAGAACTGTAGTAGGCAGCTAGATAGGCATGAGCTGAGTAGAGATGATAGGCCAGGTGCAGAGGGTCACCAGGGTGGAGAGCCCTGGGTGCCTGGCAAAAGGCAAAACTACAAGCCCTTGCTTGACCACTCCCTTAACTATTAACCCCTGGAAATGACATCTAGGATTCAGCTGTGTTTCAGCTCCAGACCCAGAAAAGAAGCAAACCACACGAAGTGACTGATGTCAGGACTGGCTGCATTGACTAATGACCCCTGCTCTGGTGCCGACCAATCAATAGTGACCATGACCCTGAGGAGACACATCTGGAAAGCTGATGAATATTCTATAGAGATCCTCCCTCTCATGAGACCTCCAGATAAAAGCCCTCAGGATGGAGGATCCAGTAGGGCTCTCTCTATGGGGCACTCCCAAGCCTTTTCCCACCCCCTTCTTCCCAGGCCCTTTTTTTTGCCTCTATAACTTGTTCCTGGGCCTATTTCTTCTATGGCTCACTTCTTCTACCTCTGAGACTTTCTAAATAAACTTTCTCTTATAGTTTGAAAAAATTTCATTGGAACAATAGTGTGTGTGTGGTTTTTTGAGGAGGGTGTTGGGTTGGGGAAGGAGAAATAAGGGCTAGCTGTGTTTCCAAGTATGGCTATAGGTGAACACCATAACTGGTCTGTCTGGCAAGACCCAGAGGTTCCTTGAGGCTTAGCCTATTCCATAAAGATTACTTTGGATGCTTAAAAAATAGGAGAAAAGAAAGAAAAACTCCCATTACATATGTTTGGAAACTCTAGGTCTCTGTGTCAGGGAAAGGTGAAAATATCTTATGGGAGAATTCTGAAGGTAGGAGTCAAGGCCAAGTCAGAGCCAGGCCAGATAAATTCGGGTTTGGAAATCTAAGGTTAAGAGTAGGGTTAGGAGATGGGATAAGCATGGTTGAGGAGCTTTACAGATGGATGGCAGCATGTCATACATTTGGTCTCTAGAGGAGAAAAAGAATTTGAGCTGGCTCAAGCGGGGGTGACTGGAGAAGACCCAGTTGACCAAAGTGGGAAATGCCACCTGACCTCCTACCTGTGCAGAGAACCCGCTGTAGAAGGAATACCAGAAGTGCACCAGGGTGAAGGCAAAGTTTTTATAAAAGAAGTAGCTGAGAAACTTGCACATGCGATTATAGGACCAGCGGCCATGAACCAAGAGTAGACGCTGAAGATAGTGGAACTGGCAGAAGCTGAAGTCGCTGTTGAGCATGGCCTGCATTCCCTCCTGGCCACTGAGGCCAACCCCAATATGGGCAGCTGCAAGAGAAACCCCAGAAGCTTCTTAGCCATAGATGTTGTTTGCTGGGCCCCCAGCCTGGAAAGTATAAAAGGAAGGCTGAGATCATGTTGTACAAATCCATTATTTTACCTTTGGAAAACAGTTAGGCCCAGCTCAAAATGGCACTTAGTGGAGCCTTTTCTCCTTAGTGCATTGCCCCTCCCCCACGAGTCAGAAAACAGCTCCTTCATCTGCACTTTGTTCTGGATGCTGCTGCTCAGGAATGTGGGGCATGTCTAGTTCTAGAAAGCTGTCCTGAATGGGTTTTGCAACTACTATAGCCACCTGGGCTCTGTCTTACTGTGGTGCTGAGGTAAAAATTTATTCTTATCCCTTGAAGCCACTTAAATAAATTAAAAATGCAGGATAGATGCCAATCTATCACAATATTTAATTACCTGTTTATCTAAGGAGCTAAAATCCAACTGTTGGAAGGAGTAAGTGATGTACTACTTTGATAGTGTTCTTCAAAGGCCTAGGGTGACTTTTTTGGATAAAGCAAGGATTATACTTGAGAGAAGATAACACTGAAGTTCCTAAAACTTTTAATTAGTCTGTTGTAGTGTAGGCCAAATTCATTGATTTTTCTGGCACATACCTATTGCATTGCTTAATGGAATAATTGACACCTGTGAGGCCCTAAAAACCAGGAAAGTCCTAGAAACTGGGAAAGAGAGAAAGAACACTTCCTAGTATTGAAATGGAATATTTGCTAGTGTTTCTTGTTTGGAGAGAGGCTGGATTGGAGGACCACAAGATGTTGTCCACATCTCACAGAACAACAAGTTGCTGGAAGCTAACAATATTCAGCTGAAATTAAAACCAGTTTCAGCCATGTGCTTCTATTGGTCTAAAGCATCAGTAAATCTGCTCTCCTCCTCCAGCGAGGGAAATTAGGGCAAGCTCTCTAAAACACTGCCTTAGGGAGGAAAATATCCCTGCATTGGGGGTCACAGCTAATTCCCTGGTTGGGCAGCTCTTTCTTCAGCCTAACTTTGCTCAGGCTTATAGCCTTCAAAAACAAAAAGAACAGATTATGACTCCTGCCCAGTGGTCCTTTCTGTGGACTTTGATGCCATCTCAGAAAGATGGTGTGGTAGTAGCACAGCTTGTTGTTCTATGTATATATGCATGGGTTCTTGTGGAAGTTGTGTGTATCTATACATGTATGAGTGTTGAGTGAATTAATCCAAATGTGTGTGCATACCTGTGGGTATGGGCTGATGTATGCATGTGTAAATAAATGGGAATGCAGGTATAGGGAAGCATAAATGTAGTTGAAAAACAGTATCAATGTACAGTATATACAATATGCAGGAGTATGAGCCAGCAACACACTGTCACCCAGATCAGTTTTGCCCATAGAGGAAGAAAGAGGCAAGCCCATGCCTGGGAGCTACTGCCCCCCACCCCTCACATGCCTTTGATCATGCTGACGTCATTGGCCCCATCCCCGATGGCCAGTGTCACCTCCTTCTTGTACCTCTTCACCAGCTCCACCACCTGGGCCTTCTGAAGGGGTGTCATCCGGCAGCAGATAACCCCCTTGCACATGCATGCTGTTCGCAGCAGTTCCAACTCCAGGTTCCCTTCTAGAGCATAGGCCTGTAGCACCAGGACACACCCACATTTCAGGCTGCCCAAAAAGGTTTTCAGGACAGGACCTTTCTAGGCCCTTCCCCTCCCCACCATAATTCTCCTGTACTACAGAGGTGTCAGGCATTGCTATTCCCAAGGCGCTCCACCCCTAAGGGAGGCCAAGCCCCTACATCAGTTCTAGGCATCCTCACATCTGACCCAGCTTCCAGTGGGAAACTGGTCAGTCTCTCACTGGGTCTAATCAGTTAACTGGGCTATAAGGCCAAGTTTATTTTTGGAGGACCTGGTTCTGCTCCCTTTCTCCCTTCCCCTAAGTGACAGGCCATATTAGTAGTGAAGAATTTAGATAAGGAAGGAATATGCTCTTGGCTTCTCTTTCCTCATTATTCCTGCCTCAAGAGGCTTAGGAAAGGTGTTTGTCAGGCAAGGGCACATGAAAGGCAGGGGAATAGGGGGACTCATGGGTCATGAAATTTCCCTGAAGTTGGCTGGACTTAGGAAAAAAGTTCCTTGAAAGAAGAGAACAGAGTTGTAGCTCTGTGTTGCCCACCAGACTGTAGCCATTGATGACCAAGCCATAGTTGCCATTGGGCACCTCCTCAGGTATCCAGGAGGGCATTTTGGGCTTCGTGGCAAGGTAAGTGTTTATTGGGTCTGATTCCAGTAGAGACTCGGGTTTCATCTTGTACATTGCTGACCTGAAAACCAAGAGTAGTGGTTAGTGTCTGACCTGAAGCCCCAGAACTTAGGAAGGAAAATGTGAGAATGGGCAAGGTGGACATAGAGCCTCTGAAAAGCACCAGCCAAGACCTCTGACTTGACTGCTTCCTGAGCTTGCCACTGCCTTAGGTCCTTGACCATCCGCACACCGCACTTCACCTCTCCACACTCCAACCTCTTGAACCCTGATGCTTATTCACAAAATTCTCTCAAATGTTTTAGGTTTTTTGTTTTCCCCTTTTCCATTTCTTCTCTATTCCTTCTGGTAGTGTGGGGGCCACATTGGGTGAAGAGGTGAGTGGGAGATCTTGTGTCCAGGGACTGGCTTTGGGAGCCCTCTCGTCTGTACCTGAGTTCTTGCTGAACAGTCTCATTATCCTTGCCTTCCACAATAAACAGCTCATCCATTTCATCCTCAAATATGTTACAGGCATAGGCAATGTTCACAGCAGTCTCTGCAGGGGAGGGGAACACAGGTTGCATTTTGGCTAGAACTGGGTGTTTTCACAGTATACAGTTACATAGACACTAACAGTGGGCTGCAGAGCCCATTTGTTCACATTTGCTATGTATGCAGAGTGTTTTTCATGAGTCAGTGGAGACCATATTCAAACATCCATAGGAGACTGTTTACTTGATACAGACTTGCGAGTCATTTATCTATAACTAGGATCATTCTGGCTTAGCTTTCTCTACAAAGCCTTCCTGTTTCCTAAAGCAATTCCATTTTGTATCCACTTCTCCAGGCAATCAGGATGCATTTCCTTGAATAGAACTGTGTACATTTCTATGGTAGATTGTGTGGGAGACTGAGAAATGTTTAGGTTGTAGTCTTTCCTTTACATCAAGAAATCTGAAATTCAGAATAAATTCATACCAAAGAAAAAAAATTAAGTCCTGAACCCTGGCTGCAAGTGGTATTAATAGTCGGAGAAGAGTTGCAATTGTCATAAAAACTTTCTTGGAGAAAAGCCTTGAGGATGAGTAAGACTTATCTAGGGGAAGAAGAAAACATTTCAAATGGGGAAATAACCCAAACAGAGGTCCTAGAGTAGCAATTAGTTTGTTTTGGGACATATTGTAGATAATGGTCACATTAGGATGCAGATAAGGATGTGTAGGCAGTAACAGAGTATCAAGGTCATGAGGACAGGATGGTAGAGTCCCAACTACCACATAGAGTCGCTATAGGTACCTGAGCAGAAGAGCAACATCATAAAAGTAGAATCTTTTAAGTTGTTTGTAGGCTATGCTGAAATTAATAAGGGCAAAAAACAGAGAGATCAGTTCAGAAGTTTTTACAGAAGTTCAGCCAACAGGTGACAAAGGCTGAACTACGGTGGTGACATAGCCCAGAGAATTTTCAGAGGAATTGATAGGATACATGGTGAGAGAATGAATCTTTGGGACAACAGAGAGGGTATATTCAAAGACAATCTAAATTTTTTTAGCTTGTGAGCTCCTGGATGTCTGTGTCCTCAGTGCCTAATACAGCATCTGGCATAAAGTACATATTATAGTTAGCAAATTGTATGTAAGACTGGGAATGGAATTTTCCTATAAGAACCTGATCTGGGTTATAGATATTTTTCAAATAAATGGATAAGAAAAAAAGAAAAAGAAGAAATGGCTAAGGTGGATAGGGAAGATGATCCATTAGGTGAAGTACTCCCCTTTACCTTGCTTATCTCCAGTTAAAACCCAGATTTTAATTTTGGCTTTGTTCAGCGTTTTGATTGTCTGAGGTACTCCATCCTGCAGCTTATCTTCTATGGCTGTGGCCCCTAACAGCTTCGAACAGAGATAGCAATGAGTGAGGAAAAAGGACAGTCACAGCATTTAGTGCTACCCAACAATTCAACTGGGACTTCAGCATCCTCCTCAGTTAGCTGGCTCTGTCCTAGCACGAGGACCCCAATGATATAGAACTCAGTACTCTTGACCTCTCTACAGAGGCAGCTTTTCAACCACGTGCTGAAATCAAATTCGGAAACGCGGAATATTAGGGACCAGAGAGGGAAGAGACGTGCCCAAGTTGTACGTGATGCTGTGTGCCACTTCTAAATCATTTGTTTCTCAACATGCTTTCACTTCTCCCTTGACTCATAGCATGTTTCCTGGCTTTGGTCTCCAAAAGCAGTGGGTTCCAGATAAGGGATTCCCTACATCCCATTCCAGTTTTTTTTTTTTTTTTTCTCCAACCCTATAAGAGCTTGGGTGATCCTCTTTTGGTTGTACCTTAAAGCCTTTTCCCATGAAAATGTAAATAACTAGATTATAACTTCTTGTTCCAACACCACGTCTTCTCTGTCTGACACTCCAACAGTGCCGGCCGGCCACAGGGATGGGCACCATTACTGAGCCTGAGGAACTGACAGACAAACTACTAATTTCTGCGAGGCCTCTAGAAGGACAGTCTAGAAATACTAACCACAGAATTGGCCATGGAAGGAGATTGTAACCTTTGGAATCTATAAATTTCCCCTTTTGGTATCAGTAATTTCTCTTTTTATAGCAGAGCCAGGTTGTACCAGTCTGGTCAAAAACTTTGGAGTCATTCTTAACTTCTCTTTTTCTTATATCCTATGATCTAATCCATCAGCAAATTCTGTTGGCTCTACTTTTAAAAAATGTACAGAATTTGACAATTCCTTAGCACTTCTATCTGGTTTTAAGCCACAACTATACTATTACAACTACCTTCTAATTGGTCTCCCTGGGTCTGTGCTTGCTCCCCTCCAGTATAATCTCAACAAGGCAGCCAGAGAGACCATTTTAAAAGCCATCACATCACCTCTCTGGTGAACTTTTCAGTGGTTTTCCATATCTCACTATAAGTTCTTATACTGGCCTATCAGGACCCTCGACTACTTCTCTGTTTCGTGTCCTTTTATTCTCTTCTCCTTACTTTCATTGTACTCGTCACCCTGGCTGCCTTGCTGTTCACTTAACAAGTTAGGCCTGCTCCTGTTTCAGGGCCTCTGTTCTTGCCATTCCTTTTGTCAAGCTAATCCCCCAGAGATCTGCTTGGCTTGCCACCTTCTTGAGGTCTCTGTTCAGATGTTTCCTTCACAGTGAAGACTAAGCAACTATGCCTTGTCCTCTTCAAAACACGCACACACATACATGCCGATATGCTCTAGTTTTCTTTCTGGTTTTATTTTCTCCCATAGCACTTTCACCATCTAACATATTGTATATGTTACTTTTTAGTCTGTTTTGTCTACTGTTATGTGCTCTGGGCTTAAAACAGTGCCTGGCATGTAGGAGGCACTTAATAAATATGTCAACTGAATGAATGAATATTTTTGTCTTGAATATTCCATCAGTTAGTTCTAGATTATCTAATCTGTTATTCAAATCCTGATTTCCCCTAGATTACTTAGTTTCTGTGAGCAGATTTGGAATAAGAAACATTGCCAGAAAGATGAAATTTATAACTAGTACATTTTTTCATTATTTATGGATTTCAAAGATCCAGAACATCCTGAATTAGCTTGGATTCCAGTATCCTGTATCCAGAGAGAGCCTGAAGCTATTGATTTGCTGACACCCACTCTCAGAGCCCTTGCTCTGTCTGCTGACCACCATCCCCCTGGCGCCCCAGTCTGTCCCTGGCTTCCTCACACTAACCACCAAGTCTTTTTCAACCTCTTCATAGACACTTGTTATTTTATTTTCCCGATTCTCCAAAGACGAGCAGGCTTCGTTGTGCTTCTTGCTCCAGGCATGGAAGAAGGAACTGTCCAGTTCTCGATAGGCCACAACGAGGGTTCGAAGGCCTTCAATGGCAAATTCCTGAAAGACATGTGTGTGCGCTGAGTGGGCCTGGGCTGGGTTACGGTTGAGTAAAGGGAGTGGCAGACTGACCCCATCTAACTGCAAAATAGGGTTTAATGGTTGGAACCATGGGGCTAGTACCTAGCCTAACCAGAAAGCAACTGTTGAGCTTTCTTAGCAAAATGTCCTAAGGATTGAGCCAGCATAGCTGGGGGTAAAGTTTGAGAGTAATTCTGACAGATAGAAAGTTTTAGCTTCTACCTGTAGTTAGGTAATTTGCTGTGTGACTGTGGGAAAACCCAAAACTTCTAGATTTCTTTCTTGTAAAATTGGCATAGTAATTCAGCCCCTACAGAGAGGATAATGATGTCTGTAACATGAGAATGAAGAAAGTAAAAAAGAATTGTTATAAAAAATAATCAAAGGCCCTGGCCGGTTTGGCTCAGTGGTAAGAGCATCAACCTGCAGACCAGGGAGTCCCGGGTTCAGTTCCGACTAAGGGCATGTACCTCAGTTGCAATTTGTCCCTGGCCCTGGTTGGGGCTGTGTGGATAGCAACCAGTTGGTGTGTCTCTCTCACATTGATGTTTCTCTCTCTCTCTTCCTCCCTCTTTCCCTCCCACTCTATCTGAAGATAAATGCAAAAATATCTTCGGGTGAGGATGTAATAAAAATAATAATAATAAAGGCATTACTATTTTTTACAAGCATACATTCATTTTATTTTCCTCTTTTTCTGCCTTCTTTCATCACATATTCAATGGACATCTCAATTAGCACACATATTGGGTATCTGTCTACAGCTGTTGACTCAGAAGCATTAATGAGGCTACTGCTGAAATGCTCTCCGGGTGAGAGAGCATCTTTTTCTCCTTAGCCCCTGAGATATATCCTAACCATAGCTTGCTGTCTTGCAGAAGCATACTCCTGACCACAAGGAGGTCTGGGTGAGAATGTAGGTAGATTAGGGCAGAACTCATATCCAACCAAGGGTGGGTTAAAAGCAGATTTTGTGTATTGAGAATTGCACATGAATAACAATTCTACATGATCACTGTTATTATGAGCTTCAAAACAATTCACTTTGGCATTATAAGAGAAAAAAGAAATAGAATTTATCATCTTGATATTTTGCTCTTAGTTCTCTGTATAATTCCTGAGTGTTTGGTGTAAGCTGTCAGGTGAAATTAATGTAAGGCAGTATATGTAGGGAGTGCCATCTTCTAAACCTCTGTACTGTTGGCAGGTGAAGCTATGAAACAGAAGCCCAAGAGAAGATCTTAGAGACTCCTTAAGAAGGAAAAAGATATGGCAGAAAATGATTTTGCATAGGATACTGATAACAGTATTTCTTATCCCTTCTGTTTTTCCTTTCTCTTCTGGTGATCAAACTAGGGCCCTGGGGCCAAATCCTGACTGCCACTTATTTTTGTATGGCCTGTTTGTTGATCCCTGTTGTACAGGTCCTGGAGCTATGCTTCTGCATGAGTGGGTTTTTGGAGCTTGACGTATAGGTTTATCATCAGTGGTTAACAGATTGTAGTACAGTCAGGTTTCTGTTAAGGTTGGTAATAGGAAGCAGGTCAAAAGATCTGAAACAGTTTTATGGCTCCCTCTGAAGCAAGTCTGTGGAAATGCTTTCTGAGAAAATAACCTAATTCATGTGTTCTGGAAGTTTTCAGACTAGCTCATAAAAAATACTATGGTATCCTGGTCGGTGTTGCTCAGTGGTTAGGGCGTCAGCCCACACAGCAAAGGGTCATGGGTTTGATTCCTGGTCAAGGGCACGTACCTGTGTTGCAGGTTCAATCCCCAGCCCTGGTTGGGGTGCATGTGTCTCTCTCACATTGATTTCTCTCCCCCACCCCTTCCCTTCCTTCCACTCTTTCTGAAAATCAGTGAAAAGAATATCCTTGGGTGAGGATTAATAACAAAATACTGTGGCCTCTGGCAGCCAGTATAAGACATAAGAGTCATCCTGTGTAGGACATTTAACCAACTTTTTAAAATACTTGAGATATAATGTAGATACCATAAGATTCAGCCTTTTACAGTATACAAGACACTTTAAAAATTTTATCCATAAAGTTGTGCAACCATCATTACTATCTAATCCCAGAATATTTTCATCACCCCCAAAAGACACCCCAACTCATCAGCAGTCATTCCCATTCCCTTTGCTCTAGCCCCTGGCAACCACTAATCTACTTTCTGTTTCTACAGATTTGCCTATTCTGGATAATTCAAACAAATGAAATAATACAGTATGTGGCCTTTCTGGCCTTTTTCACTTAGCACAATATTTTCAAGGTTCATCCACATTGTAGCATATATCAGTACGTCATTCCTTTTTTTTTTTTTTTTTAATCCTCATCTGAGGACATGCTTATTGATTTTAGAAAGCAAGGAAGGGGGGTGGGGGAGACAGAGAGATAGAGAAACATTAATGTGAGAGAAACATCGATCGGTTGCCTCCCATTCATGCCCTGACTGGGGAATGAACCTGCAATATTTTGGTGTATGGGACAACACTCCAACCAACTGAGCCACACTGGCCAGAGCTACATCATTCCTTTTTGTGACTGAATAATAGAGGATGTATCAAATAGTCCCCTAAGTGGCTCAGGTCTAGTGATTCTTGCTCTGTACCCTAAAAGCAATCTGTTCTCATCATGGCTGGTGGGGTGGGGCCTCCAATACCAGCAGGCCCTATTCTGAAGCAAATTCTAAGTCTGACCATGGGACCTCCAGAGCTAGAAATCAGAGAGAGGACTATTCTGATTGTGATAAGTGCTTCCACAGATACAATCCTTGTCACTCTCCTGAGATCCTGTGCCATCCAACTCCTTGAAAATGTGGTCAGTGAGAATCCCACAGAATGAGGTAGTTTTGTGTCTTTTTTCTTTTACCCGAGGATATTTTTCCACTGGTATTTTTCAGATAGAACGGGACAGAAGGAGGGAGAGACAGACAGAGGGAAACAATGATGTGTCTGAGAGACACATTGATTGGTTGCCTCCTGCTCAACCCCATCCAGGGCCCGGGATTGAACCTGTGACTCTTCAGTCTGCGGGCCGATGCTCTAACCACTAAACAAAATGGCCAGGGCAGAATGAGGTAGTTGTTATTCTTCCATCAATTAAAGAGACATGGACACCAATATATACCCATACAGAAACACAATGACAGAGGGACACATGTGGACACTTATCCAGGTACACAGAACCACTCACAGCTTCCCTCCTGTATAACCTAAACACTTACATCTAAATGTTCCATGGTCACATCTCTGAGGGATGCACAGGATGGATGAAGAAGCTCACAAAGGATGGTGTCTGCTCCCTTGCAGAACAGCATTACCCGATCTTCAGGTGTCCTCACTAAGGATAAGAAAATCAAGCAAAGTAACCACATAGGCCCATTGTTACAAGAACTTGTCTGAGCCACTGAGGGATGGCAGGAGGCTGTTCCCATGGCATTTGTTTCTGATACATTTGGGGGCTAAACACTCAATGAGTGGCCACACAGGATAAGTGATATGGCGAAGGCTGGTGAGAGTGAGAGAGCACCTTTTGAAACCAGTTCTTCCAGTATCACCCGTGGAAGACTGATGCAGAATCACATTTAGCTTCTCAAGCCCAAGTTTTATATCAAGGCTCACACCTATTAAGGACCAAGGATGAAAATGACCCAAACTAATTGAGAAAAGACAGTATAAATTTCCCCTATACTTCTGTCCTCATCTCTACTCCAAATTCAGGCTTTATGAATTATTCTCTGTTCTTATCTGAGCTTTAAGGGTTCTTACAAGTCACTTCATAGGAATGCTAAAGAAGGGCCCTAGTATATGGTAGCAAGCCCCCACTGTGTATAAAAGAAAATATAAAGATATGTGACAGAGAATGTGGAAATGGCTGTATTTGAGGCATAGTACCTGTGAGAAGGCATGTGGGTGGGAGAAAATATTTGTGTGTAGATTAAAGAGAAAGTCAATGTGTAAAAGTATAAAAGTACATGAAAGACAAATAAGGGGAGAGAACCTGCTGGGAGGGGGCACCCACCAATAACAGACATCCTCTTGCGCACATTGTTGAAGTCCAAAATAGCCAGCAGTTGGTAGACTTTGGTTTTCCCCGTTTCGACCACCGTGATTGTTTCAGACGTACGGGAACGCAACACAAAGCCAAAGTTCCTGGCAGCAGTGACCAAGGCACCTTCATCTGGGGACTGAGCCTGGTATACCAGCTCACCTGGCAGGACAGAATAGGTTCAGCCAGAGCTCACAGAGATGTGCAGCTGAAGTCCATCCAGAAATGACACTGTCTTCCAAATGGTTTACATAAAGATGGAGCTCAAGAGAGGACACCTTTCTTAAAAAATTCCTCATAGTTTGGCCTTAAAAGCCCAAGTTATATAGAACAAGTCAGTATTTTTTTCTTTCCAATATTTTCAACTCATTTCACAATCCTGAGTTAGTATTACAGAGGCACATGGTACATGCAGTATATACAGATGAACAAAACATAGGCAGTTACTCTCCAACTTTAGTGAATAAAGATGGCCCAGGAGGGTTGTTAAAAATTCAGGTCCCTTGGTCCTACCCAAACTTACTGAATACAGAATCATAAAATCTGGGAGGAGAGCCCAAGAAATATAATTTTTGTTGTTGTTATCCCCCCTACCAAGGATATTTTTTTCCAATGATTTTTAGAGAGAGTGCAAGGGGTGAGGGGAGAGAGAGGGAGAGAAACATCGATATGAGAGAGACACATCTATTGGTTGCCTCCTGGACGTGCCCAGACCAGTGCTAGGATTGAACCTGCAACCCAGGTTCGTGCTCTTGACTGGGAATTGAACCTGAGACCCTTCAGTGTGCGGGCCAATGCTCTAACCACTAAGACACACTGGCCAGGGCAAGAAATAGCATTTTTAACAAATCTCCTGGGTGAGTCTCATTTAATCTATTTAAGTTTCAGTTTCCTTCAAAACTGGAATCATTTTTCTTTTTCTGTTTACCTCAGAGAGCTGTTGTGAAGATTGTGGTAGATAATATAAATGAAAACAATTTATAAGCTGTAAAGTAATATACAAATATAAAGTGTAGTATTTATAAAGAGTATATTAACTTTAAAGGATGTGATTTTTTTTGGTTGCCTAAATTATTTTTTGTTAAGGAAAAAAAGTCTTCATTTATAATTGGTCATTTCTCTGTTTCTAAAAAAGGCTTGGATACATTCATGGATGACACAGTTATACAGGGTCAAGCAAAAGTAGGTTTACAGTTATTCATATGGAAAAGAATATAATAATTAATAAATAATAATACAAAAATAAACTGTTTCATGTACTCACATCTACTGTTGCCCCACCCTGTATTTGGTTACTTAAAGAAACTAAGGATATGTGGGGGTACCTTTACATTGTGAAGTAACAAAAGGACAACTCTATTCACCCTTCAGGAAGTCTTGTGAGAGATATGGGGCTGATCTGGGGGATAATTCAGATGGACTTTATGACAGAACATCACAGAGTCTCAAGATCAGAAGCTCCTTATATAGCACCAAGTTCGACCCCTATCCAATGATTGAATCTTCTTTAAGACCAAACTTGAATATCTCTAGTGATTAAGAGCTCACTACTTCTCTTGACTATCCATTCCATTGCTGGGTAACACTTCCTATTAGAAAGTTCCTTCTTAGATTAAACTATTACAAGTGATATCAAATCACCCCCACCTCCAACCAGCCTAGACTCTATGACATATTCTCAGTCTATGAGGCCTTAGACCCCTTCTCACCTTCCTCTTTCTCCTCTGTCATCACAGTATGACACAATGAGAGTGCAAGGAAAAACAAGTGCACCCATCGATCTCTCCTTTTTATTGCTTCCACCAAAGTCTTGTCATAAAATGAAAACTTAGGATCAGCCAGTTTGTTGTAGGAGAAGTTGACCTTTTCTGTTTTCTGGAACACATAAGCCAGAACAAACTTCTCAGCAGTAGCTTGACACTTTCTAAAAGGTCAATTTGGGAGCAATTTCTGTAATGTGATAAGAAATCTTAGGAGGATGGGAAGGGAAAAGCAAGATAAATGGAGGAGATCCTGTGCTGGTTTCTAAGGCCTTTTTAGCTCTGACCTGTACCATCCATTCATTTGGGCCAGGAAAGATCCATCCCACAGGACACAAGCTGAGCACTGCTTGGCAGACCCTTCATACTCCCTTTCTCCCCCAGCTATCCTGAATGATCAAAGGCCAGCTTCAGTCTCTACTGTTCCAAGTTCCAAATCTATGATAATCAAAACTGCGGATATGAGGGGGTAACTTCTCCCTATTAATAAATGGCATCTGGCTGTCTTCCTGATTTGGGGAGCTGGGAATGGAACTGAGTCCTGATATCACTGTGGTATCAGGTCAGTGATATCACTGTGTTACACTATTCTTATTTAATCCCACAGCGGGCTAAGAAGGAATACTGCAAGACAGAGGCAAGGCTGCATTACAAGGAATCTTCACTACATAGTACTTGTTCCAAATTTCATTTTGAACCATTTTTACTTGACCTGTCAGCATACCTGATTCCTTCCTGCCTAGCTCTAACATGGTCCTTGACTTTGTCTCAATCTTTGGACTTAATATTAACTACCATTTTTGTGGCTATGATCTTGGCTCCTATGGATACGACTCTTATTCTCCATTTCAGCATTTTTTTTTTCTGGTTTAATTTGGCCCTGAGACTCTCTTATCCCCATCCTGGAGTGCAGTATTAACAGATTTCTCCAGCCCATACCAGAACTCTCAAGGATATTTCTCCAGTTCTTTGTAGTTGTGGTACTACTTGGGCTGGACCCCAATATGTCAAGTACAGACACAACTGTCCTGCTGATGTTATGTTGAGGTAAGGGAAGTTTGTAGTGAGCTATATGGGCTTTTTTCTATATCCCATATAGAAAGAGTTCTGTCATAGCAGCAAGGAAGTACGGTCAGGTTCAGAGCCAAGCCCTAGATCTGGCCAACCACATAAGCTTTGTAAGTTTTGGGAACTTTATGGGTTCAGTAATTTAAGATAAATCATTATATAGCATCCCCTGAGGCTTTTCTAGAATTGGATTCATTTTTTTTATTTTTTATTTTTTTCTTATTGATTTTAGAGAGAGAGAGGAAGGGAGAGGGAGAGAGAGATAGAAACATTGATGAGCGAGAACATCGATTGGCTGCCCCCTGCAGGCCCCCCACTGGGGATCGGGCCCACAACCTAGGCATGTGCCCTGACTGGGAATCGAACTGGTGACCTCTTGGCACATAAGTTGACACTCAACCACTGAGCCACACCAGCCGGGCTTTTTAAAAAATATTCACCAGAGGACATTTTTCCATTTATCTTCAGATAGAGTGGGAGGGAGGAAGGGAGGAAGAGAGAGAGAGAGAAACATTGATGTGAGAGACACATTGATTGGTTACTACCTACCCGACCCCAACCAGGGCCGCTGATGAACAGCATCCAAGGTATGTGACCTTGGCCGGAATTGAACCCCGGACTCTTTGGTCTGTGGGCTGATACTCTAATCGCTGAGCCAAACTGGCCAGGGCTAGAATTGGGCTCTTGTACTGGCACATTCTTTAAAATTAGAAGCTGGTGCCCTGGCCGGTTTGGCTCAGCGGTTAGAGCATTGGCCTGCAGTCCAGAGAGACCCGGGTTCGGTTCCGGCTAAGGGCACGTACCTCGGTTGCAGTTTGTCCCCAGCCCTGGTTGGTCGTGCGGGTGGCAGCCACTTGGTGTGCCCCTTTCACGTCGATGTTTCTCTCTCTCTCTCTCCCTCCCGCTCTATCTAAAAAACAACAACAACAACAAAAGAAAAACTAGAAGCTGGTGAGTGATGAGAGATTAACTGAAGAGGCAGGCATGAGGCTGATCCTACTTTAGCATCTTACATGCAATAGGGAGTCACAACAATTTTCTGCTGGAAGTGACATAATTGGATTTGTATCCGAGAAAGTCATCTGGTAGCAGCATGGAGAATATATTGGAACTAGCAGACAAAGGGAAGAGTTGTTATTTTTATTATATAAAGAACACTTTTAACTTTAAAAAAAAGGCAAAGAATATGAACAGGCAGTTCACAAAATAAGTATAAATGGTCAATAAAGTGATCGGGAAGGGGAAGGAACATAAGCATATAAAAATGATTCAATCTGGTTAGTAATCAAAAGAAGGTAAATTAAATAAGATGTCATTTTTCACCAGTTAACTTTCTAAAGACTAAAATATTGTTAAGACCCAGTATTGACAAAGGTAGGGGGAAAAGGAATTCTCATATATCTTTGGTGGGATTTTATTTTATTATTATTATTTTTTTGGTATGTGAACCTAATGGGAACTGAACCTGGGACTCTCTGGTCCACAGGCCAACGCTCCAACCACTGAGCCAAAGCGGCCAGGGCTGGTGGGATTTTATTTTGATGCAATCTATCTAGAGGGCAATATGGTAATATTAAATGCATAAAAAATGTGCCCTTTCACCAACCAATTTCACTTCTAAGATTTTATTCTAAGGAAATAATAATCAGAAGAGGAGACAAAAATGTATGCACCAGGGTGCTTACCACAATGCTATTTATAATAGCAAAAGAAAATTGAATAAAAATAGGTTCTAGTTAAATTAAGGTATGTCATCAGTACAGTTGGATACAACACTCATTCAGAATGATGATGCAGACTTTAATTTACTAACATGGAAAGAGGACCACAATATAGTCTCAAGTGAATAAAAAGAGGCTGAAAATAGAACTTCCGGTCATAATGGTGGTGTAGGTAAACGTGATACTCACCTCCTCCCACAACCACATCAAAATTACAACTAAACTACAGAACAAACATCCTTCAGAAGTGCCTGAAATCAAGCTGACTGGAAGTCCTACAACTACAAAATTAAAGAAGCCACATGGAGACTGGTAGGAGGGACAGAGGTACGGACAGGCTGGTCCCACACCCACATGTGGCAGATAAAAATCAGGAGGGACACCTCGGCTGGGAAGGTCCTCCCTGAGGAATGAGGGGTCCCCCTTCCACACCAGGCTACCAGCTCAGGGTTCTAGTGCCAGGAAGAGAAATCCCTATAACTTCTGGCTGTAAAACCAGTGGGAACTGAGGCTGAGGGAGACTGAAGCTTTTGGAGTCCCAGACAGTTCCTCTTAAAGGGCCCGCACACGGATGTACTCTGAAATGCTCCCTGTAAGCTTGGAGGGGAGGCAACTTGAAAGGCACCAGAGACACACAGGGAAGAACAGTTGTTTGGCCTCGGGGCGAGCGCTGGAGAGGCAGCTTTCTCCTGGACAGACTTGCTGTTGGAGGCCTTTGTTCCTTTGGTGAGCCTTTCCCCAGGGCAGAGGCCACCATATCTGGGACTCCAGCAACCTGGTTTACACTGTTTGCCCTGCCCTGGTGATTCTCTGAGGCCCTGCCCCACCCAACTTTCGGGCCCACCCAAGCTGTTTCCAAAGGCTTTACCATAGGATTGGCCTGTCTTGGATCCTGCTTCAGATTTTCCTAAATTCTCTCAAACAAGGAGCATCTGGTCTCAGTGAGCCCCCTACCTCTGGTTAAGTGGCCCTAGGCCTGGCACTAGAAGCAGTCAGGCTTGGTTCACAACTTGGCTTTGCCTGGGCACCTCCAAGCCCAGCACAAGCAGCAGCCATCAGCAGATCACTTTGTAGTTTATGCCTGGTGGCTCTGGATAAACACAGGCAGTGGCTGACCTTTCCCCAGAGCCAGCACACCCAATGGACAGCTTCAGACCATGTTGAAACACCACCACCCAACCACCTCCACAAGTGACATGCTCAATGAGTGGAACCTTGCTGAAGTAAGTCTTGCTCTGTGTGGTGGGCTGTTGCACAGCTGATCCTCCTACATAGTCAGAGGCCAGTGGTTAGTGGTCAGTGGGCACAGCCAGTCCTTGCAGCTGATCAGCCTAAGTAAATCCCTCCCATTCCTATGCCAACAGCAATCAAGACTCAATTACAACAGAAGGTTGTACAGTTCACACTAGTGGCGTACTTCGAGGGCTGAGGTGATCAGGGAGGCTGTGCCACTGGATACTACAGGACACCTACAATAATAGTCCACTCTGTGAAGCCTAAGAGACCTAGCAACTCTACCTAATACATAGATACAAACACAGGGAAACAGCCAAAATGAGGAGACAAAGAAACATATCCCAAATGAAAGAAAAGAACAAAGCTCCAGGAAAAGAACTAAATAAAATGGAAATAAGCAATCAATCAGATACAGAGTTCAAAACACTGGTTATAAAGGTGCTCAAGGAACTTAGTGAGACCTTCAAGGAACTAAAGAGAACTCCGAGGAACTTAGAACATCAACAATATAAAAAAGCGCCATCAGAAATGAAGAATGCACTAACTGAAATAAAGAATAATTTACAGGGAATCAATAATAGAGTAGGTAAAGCCAAGAAACAAACCATCGATTTGGAATATAAGGAAGGAAAAAACACCCAGTCATATCAGCAAAAAGAAAAAAGAATCTGAAAAAATGAGGATAGTGTCAGGAGCCTCTGGGACAACTTCAGGGGTGTCAACACTCACTTCATAGGGGTGCCAGAAGGAAAGAAGAAAGTAAGAAATTGAAAACTTATTTGAAAAAATGATGACAGAAAACTTCCCTAAATTGGTGAAGGAAATAGACATAAAAGTCCAGGAAGCACAGAGAGTCCCAAACAAGATGAAACCAAAGAAGTCCACACCAAGACACATCATCATCAAAATGCTAAGGGTAAAAGACAAAGAGAGAATCTTAAAAGCAGCAAGAGAAAAGCAGGTAGTTACCTACAAAGGAGCTCCCATAAGACTGTCAGCTGATTTCTCAAAGGAAACTTTGAAGGCCAGAAAGTAGTGGCAAGAGATATTCAAGGTGATGAAAAGCAACGACCTATAACCAAGATTACACTATCCTGCAAAGCAAGCATTTAGAATCGATGGACATATCAAGAGTTTCCCAACCCTGGCCGGTTTTGCACAGTGGTTAGAGCGTCGGCCTGCGGTCCAGAGAGACCCAGGTTCGGTTCCCGCTAAGGGCATGTACCTCGGTTGCAGTTTGTCCCTGGCCCTGGTTGGGTCGTGAGGGTGGCAACCTCTCGATGTGTCCCTTTCACGTCGATGTTTCTCTCTCTCTCCCTCCCACTCTATCTGAACAAAAAACGAAAAAATGTCCTCTGGTGAAGATTTAAAAAAAAAAAAAAAGAGTTTCCCAGACAAGAAAAAGCTAAAGGAGTTCATCACCACCAAAACAGTATTATATGAAATGTTGAAAGATTTTCTTGAAGGAGAACAGAAATATGAACAATAAAATGGCTATTAATACATCTCTATCAACAACTGAATCTACAAACAAAATGAGCAAGCAGAACAGAAACAGACTCCCAGATACAGAGAACTTTTTGTTGCTTGCCATATGGGAGGAGGCGGGGGGAATGGGTGAAAAAGATGAAGGAATTAAGAAGTACAAATTGGTTGTTTGACCTATGAACCTCAAAGGAAAGTGGGATGGAGGGCAGGATGAGATAAATCAAAGAATTTCTATGCATATATGCATAACAAATGGACACAGACAATAGTGTGAGGAAGGCAGGATGGGGGCAGGATTGGGGAGGAGGGGGTCAATGGGGAAAAAAAGAGAGGACATCTGTAATACATTCAACAATAAAGATAAGTTTAAAAAAATTTTTTTTTTTTTTTATCTTCACCCGAGGACATTTTTTCATTTTTTGTTCAGGTAGAGTGGGAGAGAGAGGAACAGAGAGAGAGAGAAACATCAATGTGAAAGGAACACATTGAGTGGTTGCCACCCGCACAACCGACCAGGGCCGGGGACAAACTGCAACCGAGGTACGTGCCCTTAGCGGGAACCGAACCCGGGTCTCTCAGGACCGCAGGCCGACGCTCTAACCGCTGAGCCAAACCGGCCAGGGCTAAAAAAATTTTTTTTTAAAGAGGCTGAAAATAGCATGTGTACTATGATTCTTTTCTCCCTCCTCTTTCTTTCTTTTTCTCTTCTCTCTTCTTCCTTCCTTCCTTCCTTCCTTCCTTCCTTCCTTCCTTCCTTCCTTCCTTCCTTCCTTCCTTCCTTCCTTCCTAATCTATCTATCATATCTAGATGTATATGTATGTGTATATATACATAGGGAAAACATATTTTACATTGGTTATTTAAACAGGATTAAAATATTTTAACTTTCTTTTCATACATTTCTGTATTGTTTGGATTTTTTTTTTTTATAGTGAGCACAGATTATATTTTTAAACAGAAAAAAAAACCCCACAATAAAGCCATTTTCATTTTAAAACACAGACCCAAATCTCCTCAAATAAACATAGGTCATTTATACAATGCTTTCTGATATTATGGGGCCAATAAAAGCTTTAATATTTCAGGGACTAAGGGAGTCCTAGGTTGTGTTCAGATGCTGCTGTGCAGCATGGCCTCACTCAGCTTCCATATGCATTTCACAGGGAGCTGAAATCACTCACCTCAGAGACTTCCACCTTCTGTCCATTCTTGTCATAGACAACACCTGTTGGTAAGTAAACAGCAAAGCCTTGACAAGGGTCTTAAAGAAAGGTTTAACATTGTTTTTTTTTTTATCCTCACCTGAGGACATTTTTTTTTTTTTTTACATTTATCTTCAGATAGAGTGGGATGGAGAGAGAGTAAAAAACATTGACGTGACAGAGACACATCAAGTGGTTGCCACCCACACGACCCCAACTGGGGCTGGGGACAAATTACAACCAAGGCGCGAGCCCTTAGCGGGCACCAAGCCGGAGACTCTCTGGTCTGTGGGCCAACGCTCTAACCGCTGAACCAAACTGGCCAGGGCAACATTTTTTTATTGAAGTAAACAAATATATATATGTAAAACAAAATTTGTCATTTGAAACATTTTTAGTGTACAATTCAGTGACATTAGTTACATTCACAATGTTGTGCAACAATCTCCATTATATTTCCAAAACTTTTTCAGCATCCGAAACAGAAACTCCCCAGTCATCCCTATTCCCAGCCTTTGGGAACCTAATGTACTTTCTGTTTCTATAAATGTGCCTATTCTTGATATTACATATAAATAGGATCATACAATGTTTCCTTTTGTGTCTGGCTTATTTCATTTAGCATAATGTTTTCAAGACCATCCATGTTGTAGCATGCATTGGAACTTCATTACTTTTTAAAAAAATTGTTGACTTCATTACTTTTTATGACTGAGCAATATCCCGTTGTATGGATATACTGAATTTGTTTATGCATTCATCTGTTGATGTGCACATGAGTTGTTTCTACTATTGGGCTATTGTGCATAGGACTGCAATGAACAACAACATATGTCTATTTATTTGAATCCTGTTTCAATTTTTTTTGGTATATACCTAGGAATGAAATTACTGGGTTATGTGGTCATTTAAAGGAGGGTTTAAAAGGTTTTTTTTCTTTTGATTCTATCATCCTAGACTTGCAGTCAAGCTGCCTCAAATCCTCTCAGGCTACCTAGCCCTCAGTGCTACAGTAAGCTTCTTTCCCAAAGACAGTGGTGAGAAGGCATATGTGTGGGTCCCAACTCTTCTCCCTTAAGTGAGAGTGAGGTGAGACTGTAGGTTAGTCACTGAGGGACTTCATATCTCAGGAAGCCCTCCAATCAGAAAAGTTACCTAGAAGAGATGTGAAAATAGGGCTAGAATATTTAGGATTCTAGGCCAGTGGATAGTACGGACAGAATGGGGGGGTAGAAGACAGTCTGAGGCCAAGCACAGAAACACCCATGACCTTTTTCAACTTTACCCAGTGTATGGTAAGGTCTTATGATAAGCCAGAGAATAAGATCCTCATCCAAATAAATTCATCCCCAAACAAACTTTGTTTGGCAGGGTTAACAGGAAATATTAGAGTGCTCTAGCTTTTTAAAAAATTCCTCACCTGAGGATATTTTTCTACTTATTATCAGATAGAGTGGGAGGGAGGGAGAGAGAGAGAAACATCGATGTGATAGAGCCACATCGACTGGTTGCCTCCCGCACGACCCGACCAGAGTTGGTACAAACCACAGCTGAGGTATGTATCCTTGACTGGAACTGAACACGCGACTCATTGGTCCATGGGCTGACGCTCTAACCACTGAGCCAAAGTGGCCAGGGCTAGCTTAAAAAATTAAATTATTTTTTAAAATTGAAATTCATATAACATACAATTAACTATTTTAAAGTGTACAATTCAGGGGCATTTAGTGCATTCACAGTGTTGTGCACCTACCACATCTCCTTAGTTTCAAAGCCTTTTCATCATCTCAGAAGACCATCCACGTGCTCTAGCTTTTTAGATGTGATTGCCCTCCTCTGCTAGTTAGTTCACTGGGCATGAATGTTCACACATACAAGGCCTTAACACTATCACAAAAACAAGCTTAAGGCATGAAATAAATGAGGAATTGGGTATGGGAGATACTAAGCAAAGTCTGACTACACTTTGACGGCTTCTCTCAAAACTGTTTATTGCTCTGAGGGAGAATCAGGAAATCAGCAGCTTCATAATATGCTGGTTGCTCCATCTCATTTAATATGAGTGAACTGACATTCCCAAGACATTAGAAATTCCTTGAGGACAGAGATTAAGTTTATATATCTTGGTATTTACAATGTCTAACATGATGGATTGTATCTACAAGGTACTAAATAAATACTTTTTGAATAGAACTGGATGGGCTAAGTGATTTTTGCCTAGTGAATAGAGAAGGCTATGAGAATAAGAGGCAAATGTGAATTTCAGAGGCACATAGATTTAGAGCTTGATTCTTCTTCTTTTTTTTTATCCTCACCCGAGGACATTTTTCCATTTTTTGTTCAGGTAGAGTGGGAGGGAGGGAGAGAGAGAGAGACACAGAGAGAGAGAGAGAGAGACAGAGAGAGATATCAACGTGAAAGGGACACATCGAGTGGCTGCCACCCACACGACCAACCAGGGCCGGGGACAAACTGCAACAGAGGTCTGCGCCCTTAGCGGAAACCGAACCCAGGTCTTTTGGGACCGCAGGCTGATGCTCTAACCGCTGAGCCAAACCGGCCAGGGCAAGCTTGCTTATTCTTAAAAACAATTTGCAAAGTAGTTCTCCAGTACTCAGGAAAAGCAGGAAGACATACATACCATATAGTGTCCCATTAATAGAACACTTGTTGAAAATCATTATGTTCTGAGTCAGGGTCCCTGTTTTGTCAGAGAACACGTATTTGACCTGGCCGAGCTCCTCATTAAGGGTAGTGGTGCGAACCTGTGCTGGTGTGTTCTTTGGTGCATAAAACATCTTCTGATCCCAGTTGATATAGAAACTGTTGCCCAATCTTATTATCTCAACACTAAGGAGAAAGAAAAAAAAAAGGTCCTGGGTCAGAGCAGGACAAATACATTATCCTAGTTTCCTTACCAGTCTTGTGGTAGGGTAGGGCCAGCATCTGAAAATCATATCAGAGTATCTTCTCTGGGAATCAACAATCAATCTTGTATCATAGGACCCTTGCTACCAGCTAACCCATTATAATTCTGACTTTGACCATTATCACACAAGGCATTACCATCTGGATCCAGACAGACTTGATTACCTTTGCCAAGGCATTTCCCCTTTCACTCTTTCTTCTTCCAAAACATATCTAGGAAAAGTCACAAATTTTGAACTTCTGTGGTAATGCAAGGCCAAATAGAATTAAGAGCTAACTTATAAAAAGCAGCCCAGGCTTAATTAGATGATTATAGCTGCTGTCATGTAAATCCATTGGTGGGGGAGAAAGAGAAACTTGAAACACTAAGAGCTTCTTTGATTCAAAAGAAGGGGAGGATCAGTGAAAATCAGCAGCAGCTTACAGGAACTGATCTCTGATAAATGTCCAGGCAGAGCCTACCTGTGGGGAAGCTTCTGCCCCTAATAGCCTCCTTTTCATTTCATCCTACTTTCCCCTACTACCTTTGTCACATTCCTCTTCTGTTCCAAACAACATGCCTTATAGATTCTTTATGGTTAACATAAAGCGCCTTCATTTTAAAACAGTGAAGACTTTTAAAGGGGTCTTCTTCCTATTAACATTCATACTTAATGTGTTCGTTTAGATTGCTTCATTAGTAACCTGTCTGGGATAGGTACATTGAGCAACATGGACTTTTTTGTTTGAGTTGAGGGAGGAGGTGCTTGACTCTCCTCATTTGTCGTGCCCTCCCTTCCTTCTCCATACCACAATAGCAACGTCTCTAAACCAAAACATTTAATCACATTATTTCTTTCCTTATAAAGATCTTTGCTGCTTTTAGGATAAAATTCAAACTCTTTGGCTTGATATTTAAAGCTCTCCTGGATTGGTCCTAAACTACCATCTAACATCTCACTCTAGGTTGTTCTATGACCAGATCAAGCTTTAAAAAAACCTTCAAAAAAACCTCCAAACCTTTGCATATGCTGATCTTCCTGCTTGTAATAGTCTTTTCCTATTTTCTGCTTGGTGAAGTGTACTCTTTTCTCAATTATGAGTTTATTATCTTTTTTCTGTAAACACCTAAGCCTTTCTAGGCAGAAAGGCTCCTCATTTATTTCATGCATTCACATATATTTCTATTACGTAGTTTTTATATTGTACCATAATTATTTATTTAAGTATCAGTTACCATGGCTATGCTGTAAGCTTATTTAGAGAAAGGGCTACCTTATTATTAATTTTTCTTTCTCTAGCATCTAATACAGTGCTTGGCTCATAGTAAGTGCTCAACAAATATTTGTTAAATTAACAAGATCATTTAGGTATGTAGAGTGCTATTCAGGTTGGAATGCCACAGTGCAGGGTTTAGGAAACCTGGAAAGAAGGATGAGAAAATGTGTTTGGAATGTGCATATGTGAGAGGAAATGTTGAAAATAGAAAAAGGAAATCAGAGTAAAGACTTATTTTACCTATTTCAATTTTTGTTCATAGTGCTAATGAAAGGGGGGAAGAAACATCCTTCTTCTTCTATTCTCCAACTATTAGGAAGCAAAACTTAGGTCACAATTACACCTACCTTCCATTTTCCACGTTGTTTCTTGGGAAACTGCATTCTGAGTTCTGATGAACTGATTTACAAATGAATGTTTGGACTCTAGCTCATTGATAAATTAGGGGCTGCCTGGCTTATGCTTTAGCATCACAAAATTTGTGTGTATTTTTTCTAATGATTTCATGTGCTTGTATGTCTTATTTAGTCACTTACATTATAAGCTACTTGAGGGCAGGACAATTTTCTTTTTTGTTTAACCCACACATATCTAGCATAGTATTCTGGATGTGGAAAACATTTATGCAATCTCCAGATATTTCTCAGAGTGTTTTATACACCAGGCACTGTGGAAAGTAGTGGGTTAAAGAGCACACAGTCTGTGCTTTCTAAAAGTTCACATTCTGGCTGGGGAATTAATCAGGAATTATGTTCTCAGTTCCTCTACCTGTAAGCCAAAGTGATCAAAGAAGCCTACCTGACATAGAGTGAAATAGGCACCAGGGTGTTGAGAATAATGAAGTAGGACCAGAATATGAAGATGGCAGAGACAACTGATGAAGAGACATATTCTTTCCGTGGTAGAAAACTCTGGAAGTAGTAGCCTTTCTTGCTCTCCCAAATGCCATGCCCAATTGCTAGGATAAAACACATGCTGCCTAAAAACAGGAAAATCTAGGGGGAAAGAAAAATGATTAACTTAACATTCTATCCAAGGCATATACTACTTCAGTTCTGCCTTTTGGAGCCTATCTCTCACCAAAGCTTCTCTCTCTTCTTGAAGGGGCGTGTGTGCGTGTGTGGGTGGTGGGGGCGAGGGGGTTGCTGTTGTTTATAGGCTCTAGGCAGTAGTACACAGGACAGAAAAGACAGCCCAACAGCAGCTATCCTTGGGATTTTGAAGGGATATGATAACTAAAATATATTAAATATCAAGTGTCAGGAACTGTGCTAAGTACTTTACATATATTACTTAATTTAATATTTATAATACTGCTCTTTTAATAATAGATGAGGAACTTGATATCAAGAGTGGGGAAAGTATTTTGCCTAAAGGCATTTTACTACTAACCAGGAGAGACTGGTTTGAACCAGTTCCAGAACCAAACCTTTTATTTTATTTATTTGTTTATTTTTAAAGTTAATTTTTTTTTCTTTTTTATTTTTAGAAAGAGAGGAAGGGAGAGGGAGAGACAGAAACATTGATGAGAGAGAACATCGATTGGTCGCCTCCTGCATGCCCCCCACTGGGGATTTGGCCCACAACCTGGGCATGTGCCCTGATCAGGATTCAAACTGGTGTCCTCTTGTTGCATGGGTCGATGCTCAACCACTGAACCACATCAGGGAGGCCAGAACCCAACCTTTTAATCCCTCCATTATTGAAATTATATGGTGCTTGAACAAAAGTCTAAACTGTGTGGCATTGGCTTAGCAGTTGGGGATGGGTTGATGGTAAGAAACTGATACAAAAGGCTGAAAATATGGCAATCATATTAACAGTTAAGAATTTGGTAAAACTTGAAGACAGACCATGTGCCTGCTGAGCCTACATAGCTCTAAGGTAGGTGGTTAGAAAGGATTAGAATATTAGTGCGTGTTGACTGCCTTTGACAAGGTATTAGAAGAAAGAATTTAACTAGGGAAATAACTGGCCAATTTATAAGCAGAAATGAAAAAAATAGGGAGAAATTTGGGTCATCAAAGGACTGAAAAGCCTATTTTTTTTTTTAGAAACTAAAGAGGAAGAGATAAGATTAAGCTCTTAAGCACACGAGGCCCAATTGAGATTAAAGATGATACCTTTTTACCCAAGATTATTGTTCCAGATCATTGCAATTTTCTTGCCATTAAGTTGAGAGAGAAAGAATGGAGACAAGGAAGCAAAGAAATAAGATAAATTTGAGAACTATGTTTAGAAAAGAACTTTGGGGGAGAGGAGATAATACTCCAGAACTCCTTTTACAAGGCCAGCATTACCCTGGTACAAAACCCAGACAAGAACACTACAAGAGACCAGCCCGTGTGGCTCAGTGGATTGAGTATCATCCCATGGACTAAGAGGTCCTGGTTTGATTCCCTCCAGGTCAGGGCACTTTCCCGGGTTGCAGGCTTGATCCCCGGTAGGGAGTATGCAGGAGACAGCTGATCTATGTTTCTCTCTCACATCGATATTTCTTTCTCTCCCTTCCACTCTCTAAAAAATCAATAAAAACATTTTTAAAAAAAGAATACTACAAGAAAAAATGTTCATCAGGCCAATGTTCCTGATGAACATAGATGTAAAGCTTCTCAACAAAATAGTAGCAAACCAAATTTAACAGCACATTAAAAGAATCATACACCATGATCAAGTGGGATTTAGACACTAATAAAAGAAATTAAAGAAAACACAAATAAATGGAAAGATATCTTATGTTCATGTATCAGAAGAGTTAACATTGTTAAAATGTCCATACTACCCAAACCTATCTAAAGATTCAAGGAAATCCCTATCAAGATTCCAATGGATTTTTTTTTAAGAAATAGAAAAATGATCCTAAAATTTGTGTGAAACCATAAAAGACCCAAAATAGTCAAAGCAATCTTGACAAAGAAGGACAGAGCTGGGCAAATCACAACTTTCTGATTTCAAACTATACTATAAAGCTGTAGTAATCAAAACAGCATGGTATTGGCATAAAACAGCAATTCCACTTTTGGGTGTATATCCAAAGGAAATTAAATCACTATCTTTAAGAGATATTTACATCCCAATGTTCACTGAAGCATTACTTACAATAGCTAAGACATGCAAACAACCTAAGTGTCTATCAACAAATGAATAAAGAAAATGTGGTATTATACATATTTACAATGAAATATTATTCAGCCATAAGAGAAGAAAATTCTGCTATTTGTGACAATGTGGATGAACCTTGAAGTTATTCTGCTAAGTGAAATAAATCAAAGATAATTACTGTATCATTTCACTTATATATGAAATCTAAAAAATATAAACTTATCAAAACAGAGAGCAGATTGGTGGCTGCCAGAGGCCAGAAGTGGTTGAATGGGAATGCGTGAAGGTAGTCAAAGGGTACAAACTTCCATTTATAAGTGTTGGGGATGTAATATACAGTATGGTGACTATAGATAACAATCATTGTATATTTGAAAGTTGTTAAGAGAGTAGATCTTAAAAGTTTTACCATAAAAAATTGTAACTTTGTGAGGTCATCAATGTGTTAACTAACCTATTATGGTTATCATTTCACACTATATACATATATCAAATCATTATGTGGTACATCTTAAACTTACACAATGTTATATGTCAATTATATCTTAATAAAACTGAAAAAATATTTTTAAATTATGTAAATAGAATAATATAGTATATATTCTTTTTTGGTCTGACTTCTTTCAATCACTATAATTATTTTGGGTTTCATCCATGTTTTTGCATCTACCAATTCCTCATTTCTTTTTTTTTTTTTTTTTTTATCCTCACCCGAGGATATTTTTCCATTTTTGTACAGATAGAGTGGGAGGGAGAGAGAGGAAGGGAGAGAGAGACAGAGAAACATCGACGTGAAGGGACACATCGAGTGGCTGCCACACGCACGACCAACCAGGGCCGGGGACAAAGTGCAACCGAAGTACATGCCCGTAGCGGGAACCGAACCCGGGTCTCTCCGGACCGCAGGCCGACGCTCTAACCGCTGAGCCAAACTGGCCAGGGCTCCTCATTTCTTTTTATTTCTGAGTAGTATTCTTGTATGTATACCACACAATTTGTTCAATAATTTACTTTTTATTGGACATTTGGGTTGTTTCCAGCTTTTGACTATTACAAACAAAGCTGCACTGAACATTTGCATACAAATCTTTGCATGGACTTATGTTTTTATTTCTTTTGTAAATATCTAGGATTGAAATTGCTGGGTCCTAAAGTAAATTTATATTTAACTTTTTAAGAAACTACCAAACAGGCCCTGGCAGGGTAGCTAAGTTTGTTGTCCTAATATGGCAAGGTTGTGGGTTTGATAAATGCATAAATAAGTGGAACAATCGGTGTTTCCTCTCTCTCCCATTTCCACTCTCTCTCAAAAATCAATTAAAAAAACAACTACCAAATGTTTTCCAAAATGGTTAAAAAATTTTACATTCTACCAGCATTATATGCTCTCATACCTCTAGAAAATCTATGTATGACATTATTGTGAACCACCTCTAAGTCTACTAAATGATCTTCAAACTTGTATCCTCTGTCACCAAATGTGACTACCTGAAAACAACCCACCCATCCCCATGCTAGATGATTAGGTCTCATCTTTGATTCACTGATGGGAAAGTCTTTGAAGACAAGAGTAGAAAGGCAGGAGAAGCAAGTCTAACTAGAACCATTCTCAGAAAATGAAATAAAAAATCATTTTTTATTATAAAAAATTTTAAACATGTATTAAGGTATATATACAGCACAGTGAATCCCTATGTACCCATTACTCAGCTTCAATAATTATCAATTCATGTCGATGAATTGGATGAGTCTTATTTCATCCAAACCTCCTCTTCTCCTGCTCTCCTTTTTGTTTTAAGCAAATTTCTCACATTTTATAATTTTATCCGTAAACAGTTTAATACATATCTTTTTTTTTTATCCTCACCCAACCCGGGTCTCTCTGGACCGCAGGCCGACGCTCTAACCACTAAGCCAAAATGGCCAGGGCAGTTTAATACATATCTTTAAAGGATCTTATTTAAACACACAGCTACAATACCTTTATCATTTAAAAAAACAGTGATAAGGGGACTTCTGGTCAAGATGGCGGCGTAGGTAAACGCGGTATCACCTCCTCCCACAACCACATCAAAATTATAACTAAACTACAGAACAACCATCATTCAAAACCACCTGAAATCAAGCTGAATGGAAGTCCTACAACTACGAAATTAAAAAAGAAGCCACACAGAGACTGGTAGGAGGGGCAGAGGCGCGGATGGGCTGGTCCCCCACCCACATGTGGCAGATAAAAATCAGGAGAATACCTCAGCTGGGAAGGTCCTCCCTGAGGAGTAAGGAGTCCCTGTCCCAAACCAGACTGCCAGCTCAGGGTTCCAGTGCCAGGAAGAGAAGTCCCCATCACTTCTGGCAGTAAAAACCAGTGGGAACTGAGGCTGAGGGAGGTTGAGGCTTCTAGAGCCCCAGGCAGTTCCTCTTAAAGGGCCTGCCCATGAACTTACTCAGACTTGTTCCCTCTGAGCTCCAGTGTGGGGGAGGCAGCTCAAAAGAACTGAGTTATTTGGCATTGGGGCAAGGGCTGGAGAGGCAGCTTTCTCCTGGACAGACGTGCTGTTGGAGGCCTTTGTTCCTTTGGTGAGCCCTTCCCCCATGAGGATGGCAGATGGCAGCCATATCTGGGACTCCAGAAACCTGGCTCACACTATTTGCTCCACCCTGGGGATTCCCTGAGGCCCTGCTCCACCCAACTTTCAGGCCCACCCAAGCTTTTACCAGTTGCTTTACCATAGGTATGGCCTGTCTTGGATCCTGCTTCAGATTTTCCTAAATTCTTTCAAACAAGGAGCATCTGGTCTCAGTGAGCCCCCTACTTCTGGTTAAGTGGCCCCAGGCCTGACACTAGAAGCAGCCAGGCTTGATTCACAACTTGGCTTTGCCTGGGCACCTCCAA